TAGACTTGTGGTTACCAGGTGGGTGGAGGGCGGGAAGGGATAGACTGGGATTTCAAAATTGTAGAATAGATAAACGAGATTACACTGTATAGCACAGGGAAATATACACAAAATGTTATGATAACTCACAGAGAAAAAAATGTGACAATGAGTGTGTATATGTCCATGAATGACTGAAAAATTGTGCTGAACACTGGAATTTGACACAACATTGTAAAATGATTATAAATCAATAAAAAATGTTAAAAAAAAAAACACAAAAAACACTTCCCCTTTGTTAGTGTGATTACGGTTAATAGTCCAGTGGAGAATTTTTAAGACTGTGATAGTTTTTCTTTTCCTAATGCATAGAGGGGAGATTAAAGACACTCAAATAGCTAAGTCAATTTTGAAAAAGAAGAGCAAAGAGGGAAATGTTTGCCATATTATCTCTACAAAGCCATAATTACGAAAACCATATGACTCTGGTATTGGAATAGAGAAATAAATCAATGAAACAGAAATAAGAGCCCAGAAGATTCAACTGTATGTATAAACTTGATACATGAAAAGTATACCACTCTAATTCATTGGGGGAAAGTACGGATTGTGTTGGGAAAACTGGTTCACACATGGAGAAAAACAAAGATGGACCCATTTCATATCACAAAGGTGAACTCCAGATAGATTCAAGGCTAAAAATGAAATTTGTGATGATGGAGAGAAGACATTTGCAATGTCTAAAAGTAACCATGGGTTGATATCCATAATATAAAGTACAAGGAGATCCTGTGAATCAACACAAAAGAGACAAGAAACCCAACTGAAAAATGGGTGTGGTGTACGAACAGGAAATATACACACAGAAAGGAAGACCTCACAAGAAATCAGAAAAAGAAAATTAATAGGCAAGGCAATATGAATTCATATCCATAGCATTTTGTAAAAATTAAAAAGATTGATAGTACCAAGTAGGGATGAAGATATGGGATAGGTCATCATGAAGTTGGGATAGTGTCAAGGGATTCAGCCACTCAGATGAGCAGCCTGGAAGTATTAAGTGAAAGTAAATATGTAAGGTGAATATTTGTGAATGAAACTTCAGCTAGGAGGGTACTGGGGCCTTTGCTTTCTTCTGGGGGTAATCAGAAGGTTTGGCCTTTCTGTTTACTTGGCAGCTACTCTTAGAATTCTCCTTCAGAGTTGTGGAGATTCACGGCTGCTCTTTTCACCATGAACCACTCTACGCTACTGCTGAATCACATCTAGAGCTCTGGGCCACAGTCCACTGTGTCAGCTGCTCTGCTAAAGCCCTGGAGGGATTGGAAGAGACAGGACTCACTTCTCCTTACTACCCTCTCCTTATAACCTCTGTGCAACTAACATGCTAAGTTGGGGACGCATACTTGGACTATGTTTACTAAAGAATCAGGACAATTTCTAAAGGGAATTGCAATCCTAGAGGAACCATAGTTAAAGATCATTTATATTTTCATCTAAGGAGTTAAGATACTTAAAAATTCTAACAATTTGTACAAGGTGGGTTCTCTGATTTGGTCCTGTGCTTAAATTTGCTCCCAGGTGTCATGCACATCCCTTTAAATCTGTACAACAGGCAATCCTACCCCTTTTCCTGAAAAAAATCACTAGCTCTGACCTTTTCTTCCCCTTCCATCAATTATCTCATTTCCTTGCCTAAAACCTTTTGTTGGAAGGGATCTATCTATCTATCTCACATCTTTTTTATCCATTTATCTGTTGATTGATATTTTTGTTGCTTCCATGTTTTGAGTCTTGTAAGTAGTGCTGCTATGACCATTAGGGTGCATGTATTTTTTCAAGTTATTTAGAGTTTTTGTCTTTTGTGAATATGTGTCCAGAAGTATGATTGCTGGATCATTTGGTAACTCTATTTTCAGTTTTTTAAGGAACCTCCATACTGTTCTCCATAATGGCTGCACCAATTTACATTCCCACCAACAGTATAAGAGGGGTCCTTTTACTCTACACCCTCTCCAGCATTTATTCTTTGTAGACTTTTGATGACGGCCATTCTGACTGTGAGCGGTGATACCTCACTGTAGCTTTGATTTGCATTTCTCTGATAATCAGTGATGTTGAATATTTTTTTCATGTGTCTATTAGCCATCTGTACGTCTTCATTGGAGAAATGTCTATTTAGGTCTTCAGCTCATATCATTTTTATTGAGTTATTTCAGGATGCTTTAAGTGTTTTGTATGGTTGTATGTATGGTGGAGTTCTTAAACTTACATTTTCTGCTTATTATAATTATAAACTTTAGATTTACCATTTTTTAAATAACCTTGAAGAAAGCTATATGTCAGTTCAAAATCTACCCCCCTGTAAAAGACAGTGAGAACCTCATGCTGTCATTCTGGTCTCATCTGTCGCCCTGTTTCATGAGAGGAGAGGGAGATGTGGGCTAAAAGTGCCTGGAGAGGAGGGAGTGCCAGCTGTTGGAGTCTGACTGCAAAGAGCCTCGTGTGTCGCACTGAGAGCTCTGGACCACTCCCGGAATCACACCTTCCAGCAGAAGGTTTTAGGCAAGGAAGTGAGATCACTGAATCCATTTTTACGAGCATCATTCTTATAGCGTTTTGTAGGGTGACTTGGGCTTGGGAAAGGCCAGGCCAGGGAGACCAGTTAGGGTGTCATGGCAATGTTTCAGGGGAGAGATAAGAAAAGTCTGACCTCAGGCAGTAACAGGAGGGAGACAGTGTGCTGATGTGGCAAACAGGTCTCAGGTAAAGTCAACAGTTCCTGGAGGAGAGGAAGAGAGTGGAGCTGAATTTGTCACCAGAAAGAGTGACCTCAGGTGAAACAGGCTGTACTGGGAATGAGGGAGCGGTGGGCGGAATGTGGCAAGGAAGTAAGTTTGGTGTTGGTTTGGTTCAGGTGGAGGACCAGAATAATAGGCACAGAAATGCCAAAGCACAATGTAAAAATGAATAAAATTTCAGAAGGAGAGCCTTTTAATAAAATAGGAAATAGGGGTTTAGGGAGGTTTCCATGGTTGATGTGGAGCTGAGCCCTTGGGAATTGTTTGTTTGTAAATGGTGTTTGAAGCAGGAGAAATGCGTGAAGTCAGCCCGGGCAGAGCCCCATCTTTAGTAAGCAAACAAACGAGCAGGACCATCAGTTAAATTTGAACTGCAGGTTAAAAAAAAAACAAATAATTTTTAGCATGCTCCATGTAATGTTTAGGACATAGTTGCCCTAAAAACTGGTTATTGTTTGAGATTCAAACTGAACTGGGCACCATGTACTACATCTGACAACTGTAACAGAGGTTGCAAACAGAAGCACCCATGGGGACCAGGAAGGGGCCATCTCACTTGGTAAGGTGCTGTGTGAGACATAGTGGAGGGTGTGCAGGCTGGGCAACTGGGGCACCCATGTCCGCCCAGGGGGGCAGCTGCCACCCAGCTCCGGCTGACTGGGTTTGCAGAGATGGCCTCTAGACTGCCTAATATTCTATTGTTTCAAAGTAAAATATAAATATATATATAATTCCAATCTTTAAAGGCGACAATCGATGGAAAGAAATGACACTGTGAGGCACAGAGGAGGACTGTCGGCTCCATAAGGCACATGGGCCACTGGTTTGCAACCTCCGGTCTCATCTCTTCAGAGTGGGTGGGGCAGGTGTTTCACGGCCGATTACGGGGGCTTTGCAGTGTCAGGGTGAATACTGCTTGCGTGTGGGGAAGGGGTGACAGCAGGGGGGTGATTCCCTCCTGCAAAAGGTAAGAGATAAAAGCGATTCCTCTGGCCGCGACTCCCTGGTCTCGCCCTCAGTGCCTGAACGGGCCCCACCAGTCACTCTCCCCATCGCTGGGCAGTGGCCAAAGCCCGCAGGGCTGCACCGATGGATGCTGATGCTACCTGCTCTCACGGGGCCAGAGGAAGGCGAGCTCACCCCACCAGGCTTTCAGGTCACAGGGCGGCAGCGATTGGGGTTTTTGAAAGCTTTCATCAGAAAATTGTGGGCGGAAACTTCCCGGGGTTTGCTCTGAGCTTCTTGAGGCTTGTCAGCTTCAGGTGCCAAGTGAGTGGGTGTCTCTTTGAGAAGCAGAAAGAGAGCAAGACAGAGATAACGAAACAGAGGTGTTTCCCTTGGCTCTGGAAACTCTATAAAGAGAGGGCCAGCTCCCTTCTCTTGAGCAGTCAGAAACAAGAGCCCCGTCCTTGACACCCGGGCCTCCGCAGGATTGAGAAGGAAGAAAACCCTTGGCCGGGGGCTGGCCCGAGTCACTGGCTGCCATGCAGCAGTCCCTGAATTACCCGTACCCCCCAATCTTCTGGGTGGACAGCAGTGCCAGCTCTCCCTGGGCCTCTCCAGGGTCGGTCTTCCCCTGTCCATCCTCTGCGCCAGGAAGGCCTGGGCAAGGGAGGCCACCACCGCCGCCACCACCACCACCACCAACACTACCGCCGCGGCCACCACCACCACTGCCTCCACTACCACTGCCACCTCTAAAGAAGAGGAGGGACCACAGCACAGGCCTGTGTCTCCTTGTGATGTTTTTCATGGTTCTGGTGGCCCTGGTTGGACTGGGGCTGGGGATGTTTCAGCTCTTTCACCTGCAGAAGGAGCTGGCGGAACTCAGAGAGGTAAGCTGCCCAGTGGATGGCTGTGTCCTGGCCGCACGGGCTTAAGACAGTCCTGCTAGAGTGGAGGGTGGATGGCCACAGTGGTCCATACGGACCACAGGCTTGCTTGAAAAGTACTTTGCAGTCCCTTTTTTCCCATCTTAGAAATAAGTCAATCTAGCTTTCCTATTCTGTATGCAGAGAAATGGAGGCTCAGATGAATGAAAGTTTTTTGTATCTTGGGATGGATCAGGGCCAGAATAGGACTGGCAGCTACACTTCTCCCTTTCTCAGTTAGAAGTGAATTTGTGGAAGTGGGCAAGCTAAATTTTCTTGAAAGTACTTACAAATATTGAAACTATTCCAAATCACAAAACTGAGGCATGGCTGGAGAGTTTCTAAGTTAGAAGAGGTTCTATTGTGTTTCGATTTCCTCCCCAGTGCTTCATTTGCTTGACCATCCTGCCTCCTTTGCTTAAAGAACTTCGTATTTATTATACACCTTTTCTCTTTCTCTTTTGCCAGTCCACCAGCCAAAGGCAAACAGCCTCATCTTTGGAGAAGCAAATAGGTGAGTCCTTATAGGCACGTACATTGAGTTTCTAAAGCTAGTCCTCAGTGCTGAACCATGTTGATGGCATGCCTTGAATTCCATCTCATTCTTGGGCCACTGTACACTACTAGAGGAATCCTAACCAATTCTGAACCACTGGTCATTTGGGGTGTTTGAGCTGCCCTAAAATAGAAAGTGAATTTAACTGCTCAAAGATCAGTGTAGTGGAGTCTTGCACACAATTCAAAATAATTCCTACTTGACTTTGGAAAGAGAAACACACATGTACAACCCTGGGCCTTTGCCCCCCGAGCAGCTGGCTCCAGGCCTGTCCCTTCCCGCAGGCCTCTTGGTTCCCAGGCACAGGGCAGTGGCTATAACACCTCGAGAGGTGTGGGTAGAGACAACTGTTGGTGGAAGAGATCTTCCTCACCTCTTTAAACTCTCTAAGAGACTACCTAAAAGCCAAGTCTTATTAATTTTTCTCATAGGATGTATTTAAGCTTTAAAAATGTGAGCAACCAACCACCCACATTAGGACGGTTCTTTTGCAGCCACTGAAGAGCTTGAAGGAAGACTTTAGCCATTATTCAAAGGGGCAGACCGCTTCCCTCACAGAGGCAATGAGCTGCCTTCAGTAACAAAGGGAGATCCTTTGTTTGAGATCTAGCACAGGAAAAAGATGAAAGTGTTCAACACTGACCTCCTGAAGTTTCAGGACATAGTTTGGGAAACTGTGGACAGATAGGTTTAGAATACTCCAGCTCATTAAACTAAGAGTCATTGAACTTCAGATGTGGTAAGAGTTGGAAAAAAGCTTAAAGAACATCTGGTCCAGTCATCTCTTTTTTCAGAAGAGAAACAAAATGCCAGACGGAATAGGTGATGTGCCCAAGGCCACTGCTGTGGAAATGGGGCTAGAAGGAACATGGGATCCCAGTGCCTTGTCACCTACAGGGCTTCCAGCACGTGCTCTGTTTCCTCATGAAATAGGGGAAGTCCTATTTCTCTAAGATGGTCATGGAATGAGAAATAAAGATGGCAAGCAAGATGCCTCTGTGAAGACAATAGGTAAATCTTATCCTTAGAAATTGGAAAGAAAACAGAAAATAGCACTGGCCATCCAGTAAGGGTTGCCTGTTCCAATTTCTCAGGATGTGCCTAAAGCAGATGACTCAAGTCACCCTATTGCCCTAGGAGGTAAGCTCTTAGCAGACACCATCCTTAGGATCCTCCAGTTTCTAGTTCTGAGTCTGAAATTCCCGATGTGCCCAAGCAGATCAGAAATACTTGTTAGAACAATAAAACCTCTGGAGGATTTCTACAATAAGATAGCTTTGAAAACCAGTGGAATGTGGCTGGTAAAATGGGCACCTAGTTACTTATCTTTCACCCACTCTCTGGAGCCATTTTAGTGATTTAAAGTCAAGGGAACAGATGAGTCAGGTCTACCCATCCCACTAGTCCACGATCTTCCCTAGATCAACCCCAATGGACCAGGAAGTGGTGAGTTATCACATGGAAATCAAAACAACAACTTTACTATTAAGAGATGCAAATTTTAAAGAGGGATGCCCACTTCTATCCATCAAATTAGTAAAGATTAAAAAAACAAACAAACACAGATTGGTAGTAAGTGTGAGAGAAAAAGGTCTGCTTAAACTTTAGTTGACAGTCAGTGAGCATGTAAATTGCTAGACCTTTTCTGAAGAGCAGCTGGGAAAAATATATCAAAGGATTGAAACTGTGCACTTACCTTGTAATCTTATCATCGAGACTTTATCTGAAGAAAATAAAGGTGTGCCGGAAAATTTATACGTAAGAATGTCCATCACTTCCTCGTAAGGCTATTTATAATAAATAATTCTGAGGAGAATTAAATGCCTCTTAATAGGAAATTAGTTAAATACATTATATTCAGATGAGAGCATAATATATAGCAACTAAAAACTATATATTACAAGGACATTTAATGCGATAGAGATGGTGCATTCTCTATTGTTAGGTAAAAAGAAAAGTTATAAAAAGTATGTTTAGTTTAATATTGAACCAATGCATATGCACACTTCTGTATTCTCAGTAAAGAGCTAGAAGAATTTATGCCCCAACAGATTAACTATGATTTTCTCTGGGAGGTACTATTGTTGATTATTTAAACTTTTTCATTTGCGTCTCTTTCACTTTTCATTCTTCCACAGTTAACTCATTACATCGCTTATTCATTCACAAATATTCTTGGAGTGCTTCCTGTGCGCCATGCTGGCTGTTGGGTGGTGGGTGATGACTGAGAACCAGAGACAAGGGGCCTGGCCTCAGGGAGCTCTTAGCATACTAGAGGCGAGAAACAAAAGCAAGCACTCAGAAAACGCAATTTCAAATTTCAAATTGTACTAAGTGCGACCTAAGATAACAGTGATCTGAAAAGTCCCCTCTGAGGGGGTATTGTTACTGCGGGTGTGTGTAGATGTGTGAGTAGGGTAAGAGGACCGAAAAAAGCATCCCAGCACTGAGAATGGCATGTGCGAAGACCCTGGGGCAGGAAACAGTCATCACCAAAGGGTAGGATGTATTTCTAGTTGATTTATTCTAGTATGTATCCGGCAGGTATTTTGATTGAGCGCCTTCTACGAGAAGGACACTGTACAAGGCTCTGTGAGGGATACAGAGATATGCAACATGTGGTTCTCTGTTCCATTTCCTGTCAGCTCCTGGCTGGGTGCCAGATTAGCTAGCTGCACAGACAGTTTGTGGTGTAGGACTGCAGAAGAGACTCAGTTTTGCCTTTCCTGTTCACTAACACCTCATCCATGGTGGGTGGTCTTGGGCGGCTGCAGAGGTAATGATTGCTCATGTAATAATTTCAGTTAACTGAGCATTCTCATGCCACATGTGAGTTTTACAGGCTAATCACAAGGAGCCTGATGTGGATGAATGCCTTTCTATGAATCTTTCTTGAACGTCTTAGCTGAATTCATTAGCTAAGTGGTAGGGCTATTCTGCTGAAATATCTAAAGTCAGAGGCAGAGTGTCTATTTTGAGAACCGTTGTCCATTTTAAATCTTTCAGTTTAATTTAGCAAACATTTACTGGTCACATGCCCTGTGTTAGTAACCGCGCTAATTACTCTGGTGGATTAAATATATAGGAAGAAATTGGCCATGTATTTGGTGGAATAAGGCTAGTTATGTAGTTACCACAACAAAAGAGGAGTCAGAACTGACAAGAGAGATGAAGACAGAGTGATTCTAGGTTTCAAAGGAGGGAAAACTCATATGTGATTAGAAAGGCTTGGGAGGGTTTCCCAGGGAAAGAGATGTTTTAGATGCCATATATAAGATACGTGTAAGGAATCTGACGCAGAGGTCTGTTTGGAAGGGCATTCCAGGCAGAAGGAACAGCATGGACAAAGGCACAGTGGCAGGGAAGCTGGGTATGTTCAGAACTATTGTGTGGCTATGTTCAGGATGAGCGAGTAGGTGAGATAAGGCTGGACAGATAGGCAGAGACCAGGTGGCGGGGGAACTTGTCCACAGTTAACATGTTCAGTGAGGAGCCATTAGAGATGTTTGAGACCTTAGGATAATTACTTTGGGGCAGATTGTAGAATGCCTCTGAGGAAGCCCCAGTGGCCAGGAGATGCATTAGGAGTCTTCTTCTGCCTTTGTCAGATTCCTAAGGGCAGAAGAGCTAGAGTGGACCGGGCCCTGGATTTGGAGTCAGGAGACCTGAGTGTGGGTCTCACTCTGAGGCTGAGTAGCCAGGTCTTCCTGGACAAGTCATTTTGCCATCTGTAGGATGGGACAACAATCTGTACCTCCATGGCTTGTGGCAAGCTCCCAATGCAGTAACTGACATGACAGGTCTTTATAAGCCAACCTTTATGCTGTTTTATTGGAACGTTGTGATCTATGCGTATGTCTGTCTTAATGGGGTTCCTTTCCTACCTCTCTGTTTCTGAAACGCAGGCTGCTGTGAGTCCTACAGTTCAGACTTGCGTGACTAGCATATGTTAGACTGTTGTCATTTATGCTTTTAAAAGAGCCTCTTTTATTTAAATGCCCTGTTTAGAGCCCCACAAACAGAATAGTTTTTATCTCATTTTTATATATATCTTTCATCTCTCTATGATACAGGTCACCCCCATCCACCCTCTGAGAAAAGAGAGCTGAGGAAAGTGGCCCATTTAACAGGTTGGTATCTGGAAGGTGGGCTTGGGAAAGCCTTTGGCAGAAAGTGGAAGAGCTGCTTGGTTTCCTTGATTGTGCTCTGGGGGAGTCGTTACTTTCCACTGACGGGATTTGAAGCGCAAGAGGAGTCCCATCTTTCTGGTCACGTCGACCTCACACACACGTTGAGCCCCTACTCTGGGCAAGGCCCTGTTCTAAACTAGAGAAATGATCCCTGCCCAGAAGGACCTCACTCTTTCCAGTCATTCTAAGGACCCTTAGGGAATTTGGGGCACAGGTCCAAGAGGTGAGAGCTGGGAAGGTGGGGAACGATGAATATTTTCAGTCAGCGTTTCCCTGGTTTTCCGGAAAAGCTTCACTCTGCTTTGTCCAGGAGCAGAAATAGGAGAAGGGAGGTGCAGCCCTGGTACTAGTGGTTGTGTAGTGGAGTGAAATGATTCAATAGCAACATGAGACGAGTACTCACAGTGCAAAGTCCATAAATATCTGAAAAGTGGATAAGTCTCAGAAAGTGGTGTGCTGCTGTCCCTGAAATTATTTTGTCAGAGGCTGTAAAATGATCCAATTTAGATCTACAGACATTTCTTGAGCACATGCTGTATGCCAAGTCTGGGGGACATGGGAGATGAATAACACATGGCTCAAGGAGCTTAAAATTTAATAGGGAGAGACAGGTCCCTAAGCAATAATTTCAGCATTTTCTACTTAAGGGGTGCACACAATGCTGTGGGGACACAAAAGGAAGAGGATTTTAGCCCAAGCTGAAGAATTCTTAGTGTAGGCGAAGAGTTGAACCAGATGATTCCTAAGGTCCTTCCCAACTTTAGAACTTCAGAGTTCCTTGGATTTGGCTTTTGCTCTCATGAAAGGACCTCAAACCCTAGCAGTTTGTGGGGCTAATTCTGCGTATCACAGAATCTTTGTTCCGGAAAGCTAAAATCATCTCAGTCATTTCTCACTGCCGTTGATCAGGGGTATATGCTCTGGTACCAGTTGTGTAGATGATAAAGTTGAGGAGGTCAATTTGATAAAGGTGTTGAAGAAATTCAGTGATAAATCAGTTCTGACCCATCACCCAGTTCTACACGGGCTGTGTCATTTTGGGTTAAAAAAAAACAACATTTGCTAAGGGATGGTCCATTTTGCCTTGAAAGCTTGGTTTGTGGGACGCATGAGCATTCCTGGCTGTAAGCTCCTCTCTGACTTGATTTCAGGCAAGCCCAGCTCAAGGTCTATCCCTCTGGAATGGGAAGACACCTACGGAATTGCCCTGGTCTCTGGGGTGAAGTATAAGAAGGGCAGCCTTGTGATCAATGACACCGGGCTGTATTTCGTGTATTCCAAGGTGTACTTCCGGGGCCAGTCCTGCAACAACCAGCCCCTGAACCACAAGGTCTACATGAGGAACTCTAGGTATCCCCAGGACCTGGTGCTGATGGAGGGGAAGATGATGAATTACTGCACTACTGGCCAGATGTGGGCCCGCAGCAGCTACCTGGGGGCTGTGTTCAATCTCACCAGTGCTGACCATTTATATGTCAATGTATCTGAGCTCTCTCTGGTCAATTTTGAGGAGTCTAAGACTTTTTTTGGCTTATATAAGCTCTAAGAAAAGCACTTTGGGAGTCTCTCCATTATGGTTCCCTGTTACAAGCACTGAGAATGTTATCTTGAATGAGGGTCTTCCTGAGTCCACTTGAGGTCAAGAGAGAAGACATCAACCAAGAGGATCTTGAGACCACAGGGTCCAGCAGGTCCAGGATTCCTCATCTCACCTGAGGTTCATGAGCCCGACAGGAGGAGGACTGTGACTGATGAGCGTGACACTTGGGGCTGCCATGTGAAGATGCAGAGGCAGGGAAAAGCAGCTACCAGGGAGTTCTTCACTCATCTCAAGTGGCCAAGAGCATTTTGGCACATTGAAAAGGACATTGTTTAACTCACCTTTTGGGGTGGGTCTGTTGTCTACCTCAGGGGAGGCTGTCTTTCACATATATGGATGCATGTGAGTGTATAAGGGATGGAAAAAGAGGACTAGGCTTGCGTGATAAGCTAAAGAGACTGAAAGGCCAGTGTCCCACTGGCAGCATCTTTACTTTTAAATGCATAGCCTGAGCCTCCACGTGATGCTAACGGAGAAGCAAGGGACTTAAGCCATTCCGTATACAGCATGTATATTTCTAGTGCAATGGTAGGAGTGTGTGTGTGTGTGTGTGTGTGAGCGCGTGTGCTATGTGACCAGAAGAGTTACATATGTAGAGAGAACATGCAGATTGTGAAGGACATGTGAGAAAAAATGAATTACATGTGGTGGTAGATTTTGAATGCTTTTTGGCAACCAACTCTAATAGTCCTCAAAGCTGTTTGAATGTTAGTTATTAATGCTGTTTTCCCATAATATAACCAATATTTATATATACTTTATGCATTTTTAATGAAAGGGATACATGTAACAAAAACTATATTTTAGAATACAGATAAACATTATGAGTGTCCTTTTTGGAAATCACTAAGATCTGGATTTTTTCCTTATTATTTCTTTCCTTTATGGCTTCCTCATTCATCATGACTTAAGCCCACTTTAAGAAGAATTTACTAGGGTAGGAAGAACTGCAAGGCAAATCTTTCCACCTTTGCCAGGCTCTCCTCCCCTCTAGATATCTTTTCCCCTCCTCCCCCATCTCCCATTATCCAGAGTTTCCATGACCAATATTATTGCCAGTGTTAAGCTCACCCATAGCTTTGATGATCATTTGTCTTTTCCTGGGGGCAGAGACATGGCATAGTGGAAAGGGTGCAGACTTTGGACTGAAAAACCTGAACCTGAATCTTTGTCCCTCCATTTACTGACTGTGCAGTCACTGGACAGTCCACTGGACCTCTCTTGGATAAAAAAAGGGCTGATTATATAAAATATCTAACACATAGTAGAATGTCAAAACATGGTATCTGCCGTTATTAATAAGCCACTCTGCAGGGGCACTTCATTCTCCAGAAGAAGCCACTTATCTGAGGGGTCCATCCGAACACCTGGCTTCTTGCCCTCTTACCTTGGTCACTCACAGTAAACTTTTCCTATTTTCTCCAAATACTCATTACCATGACCCCTCTCTAGACTTTGTCATCATTAAAAAACAACAGTATCTCCTTTAGAATTTGATTTCAGATATCTTATTTTCACAAGATCAGCTTCTATTCTTCCAACTCAATTGGTCCAACATTTTCTCTCCTAAAAATATGTTTTTTTATCCTCTTGTGACATCTAGTTAATAAATGCTATCGTTTCCTTATATATCCATCAGCTCCTTCTTTATCGTTACTCTTCTCTGCCCAGGTTAAATTCCGTGATCTGTCATGATAATCAGCACCTTGGAAAGACTCTGAACTCCAAAATACTCTGTTACTGTCACTGTTTTCCTCTTGCAAAAATCCCATTTTCTTTATACTTAGATGGTAGCATCCTAGCAGCTGAATGCTGCTGGAGAAAAATGACCCAAACTGATTGACTAGTTTCATTTTTATTTTTACCTACCATCTACTGAAGTCAGCCAGTCAATTATTTGTTGATCCCTGATTTATTTCTGTCTTTCGATTGATTTGAGTAGGTAAAACATGCACATAGTACAACTTTTAAAAGGTATACAAAGATATAGGATGAAAATAAATCCTCTCCTCACTCCATCCTCGGGCTCCGTTGCTGCCCACAAGGAGGATTGCTGTCTCCTGTAGCTTTTCAGAGATATCTATACGTAAATATGACATCACTTTATGGCAGGGTTTCCCAGCCTCGGCTCTACTGATGTTCTGAGCTGGATAATTCTTTGTTGTGAGGGCTGTCCTGCCTGTGCACTGTGGTATGGTTGGCAGCATTCCTGCCCTCAACCCACTAAAGCCAGTAGCATTCCCCTGCCCCATGTGTGATCATCAAAACTCTCTCCAAATATTGCCAAACAAACATCCCTGGGCTGGTGGTGGGGAGACAAAAGTCACTGCTGGTTGAGAACCACTGATTGACATTAGTGATCAGAGATCTCAGACGGGCGTTCAACAAAGCCTAGCACTTTTCCTTCAGCTCCTTGTTACGCATGTTTTTTTCACTGTTTGAGAATTACATCACATCTTTTCCTCTCGCAAACCAACCACATCCCCTCCTCCCACCATGGAACCTCACCTCTACCACCAAAACCCAAACCCACCTGCACCTGGATGATCCTTTTCTTCCATCTGACACAGTGGAGGAAGAGGACCATCTCTGTGTTTCTGCTCTAGAATCATTTCCTCTTCCCTACTTTACCTGTTTAAGATTTTTCTTCTTTCTTCCGAATCTTCAGACTATCTCTGTCTATGAAATACTTTCCACCAGCATGTACGTATGTTCACTAAAAGGCAAACCAAATCAAACTAAACCAAAAAACCTCAAACCTTTCTTCACCTTTCCTCTTCCTCCAGTAATGGCTGCATTTCTCATCTTCCCAGCAGAGACATACGTCTGTAAAAGTTTTCCCCACACATGTGGGCTCCATTTTTTTTTTAAGCCAGGAACCTGGCTATATCATTTATCTGATCACTTAAAAATACCTGTTTTTTTTTTCTGCTAGCATAAAAGTTCCAAAAGCAAGACCTTTACTGCCTTGTTTACCACTGTATCCACATCACCTAACCCAGTGCCTGGGACGTATTAGGTGCTCAATAAACAGTTGTTTGACTAAGTAACTTTAATTATAAAGAGAAAGTCTTTCAGTGAGTATGTTATTCAGAGTAGTGACTCTATAGCCTGTTGTCTCGTGGATGTGTATGAGTGTTTATCCAGCTTTGACTAGATTATCTAATGGGAGTTGGAGGCTGCAGATGAGAAAAATAAAAAAGGCATCCTACTTCATACTATTAGAAAACAAGGAAGATCTGTTTGGCCCTGGACATTACCAGGAGCTTGCAGGAGACTGTTAAGGGAAACTTCCGCATAGCCAGAGTTGAAACTGCCTATTAGAAGATACTCAGTAAATATTTGTTGAATAATTTAATGAACAAAACCAAAGGTCCAGGTTGGAGTGTGTCACCTGCTCGCCTTAAAACTCTTCTGTTGATTCCTCTGCTTTATATGGTCACGTTTCTGACCAGGTGCCTCATGGAGAAAGTCAGAGAAGTATTCACCCTTGTTTTGGCTGATGGTCTGTATTCCCATCTGTCACAATGAAGTTCTCCTCATCTATTTCTTCCTCATTTGACTCCAACCAACCAAGTACACCAGTTCTAATTGTCACAGGAAGTTTGCTGGACCATTTGGGGGGGGGGTCAATGGGCCCTTCTAGATAACAGTATTAGAGCAAGGAGGAAGTAGGAATGGTGCTGGGCATCCTGAGATGACCTGATGCCAAAAGCTCGTAGCAGTACCACTGAAACTTACCCATCTGAGTCTGAGCTCCGCTAGGAAGCCCTGGAGATTTTCTGAAGACAGGGTTGTAGCTTAGTACACTTTAAGGACTGGTTTGAGGGGAGAGATATTAACAGTTCCTGAAGTTATTTTTCTTTACCTCAACAGGAACATAAAGAATGTCAAAACCACCCTAAAACTTTTGAATGTGCTTTTCAAAAATGGGATCAGTCATTGTCCCTTTATGAAATGCTAAACCCAAACTAGATCACTTAAAAAGAAAAGGTCGCTTCTGGATCAGTAGTTTGAGGTTTCCTTTCTTTTCAAACAACTGAAAACACATAAAACCATGTTTTTTTTTTTTCTTAGCCCCCCAGAGTGGTGACTTTGTATTCTCTGAAGTAGGTTTTGATTTACCGCAGCTTAACAGGAAAAGAGCTTTACTGGGACCATCATTGTGAGAATGACTAATTTGAAACAATAGATCATTGAAAGAGGTTGAATTGGAGAGAGAAGCCTGGCTCCTCAAAGCCAGACTCTAAGATTTCCTTCTGGAGGTTAAGCCATAGACATTCCCCAATCCTTATCTAAGAAAGTGAGCTGGCCACATGTTAAATTACATTTTCAAAGGAATTTGGTTAACTTCTGATGTTAGTAGAGATAAATTTTTGTTTCCTGTGTGTGTGTGCATATGTGTGTTTCTTTCCCAGAGTTTTGGATCATCCAGAGGCAGAATGAGGTGATCTTTGTAAAGGAGAATTAGAAACCCATTCCTTAGGGTCTTCAGATTCAAAAGTGAACCTTATTCAGAAATAATGTAACTATTGATGGCAGCCAGAAATCTTTGGGGTTCATCTAGAAACCAACCAGCCTTGGAAATAGATGATTAAGTGGGTATTTTGCTCCTTATAGTTCACCCAAAGAGTAGCAAACCACCACCCCAGTGATGCTGGGAAATATTCCCTTTGCTGGGAGATATTTCATCGCATTGGTTGAAGATGGACCACTTTCTGGTTGATCCATCCTTGGAGAAAAGTGCAGTGTACATGTCTCTCCTGTCCCACTTGGAGGCTCCTTCAGCTCTTTGGGGTCACCCTCACATTCTGTTGAAAGTCCAGTCTTCTCTCCAAGTTTTCCAAAAATTTCAGGAAGGACCCTGCTCCTCTGGGCAGTCTGCTTGATAGCAGGTTTGCTGGCTCTCGCCTGGGTTCTGGCAGTGGCTGTGCCCTAAGGTTCTCCCGTTGTGGAATACCTGTGTTTCCCTCAAGGCCCTACTACCACAAGTTGCTGGGTATAGACAGATTTTACTGATGGTTTGGGGGTAATGGATAGAGATTTACCTTACACACACAGCATAAGTTACACCTGAAGATGAGTGTTAGACAACACCATTATCCCTCAAGTTTGCCACAACTATGTCTTTAAATGTGTCACCCCAAATCCTAGTATGTGACAGGAAGCATAAACTCATTGATTCAAAGATTATTTAATGTCCACCATGTACCGGAAACTACCCTAGGTACTATGGATACAATGAGAAATACAATGTTTTGTGGAGTTATACTTCAATGGAGAGATGGGAAATAGACAACGGCAAAGAAGCAAATAAAGATCTAATTAGTCAGATGGTAGGAAGTGCTAAGGAGGAAAATTTAAGCCAGGTAAGGCAAAAGTGAGTAATGAAGAAGGAGGGGGTTCTTTGATAAGCAGTGAGGGAACATGACTTACAGCACATCAGTCAGAGACATTAAAATGCAAAGGCTTAAGACTAAAAGGCGTTTGGTATGTTTGGTATATGGTTGGAGTGGAGTGAGCTTGATGAAAATTGGTTGGAGAGGAAACTTTTTTTTTTGACTGGGACATTGTGTGACTGGGAAATTGACACATTGTAATTGACTGTACTTCAATTAAACAACAACAACAACAGCGGCTGGTTGGAGAGTTAGCCAGGGCCCAGATGACGCAGGGCCTTGGGAGCATTGCAAAGGTGTGGATTGTATTCTAAGTATCACAGAAAGTCATTGGAGAACTCCGAACAGAGAGTG